GGGTGATCTAATTATTTTAAAACTTCTAATGTTTTCCCTCCTGCTGACTGCAGCTTGTGCACTCTCGGTCAGTTCTCTGTCATCTTTAAACGTACAGTGCCTTCCGACGTGTCAACATATCACCACTTTTTGATTGCGTGGGCCGTGTTTTGTCTTTGTGCGAACGGGAGTGTAATATTGTTCCCACAGTGCAGGGTTTTTTTCTCGCTTCTCAGTCGGCACAGTTAATGCGCGACACGTGCTCCCGGGCAGCTGCACCGGTCTGAGAGCCCTGTGCGTATCGCGTTACGCTCTGGCATTGAACAGCAGTGACCAGTGGAAGGAATGTGGAGGCTGATGTGGGTGAACTAGGTTTGATCGTGGCATCTCTCTCTCCTTCCGAGTCCTGTAAACTTTACTTCTATAAATTCAAGTAAGCCAGATTTCGTTTGTGGTTGAGAACAGGGTTCTTATTGCATTTAAGGCTGGTTGGATGTAGATACAGAGTAAGAATGACTCTTCCTTCACCTGGTATTGTGTTTTTTTTCCCTCCCTAATTCTTACTACTGTAGCTAGTTCTACCATTTGCTGCCTGACAGCAGAACAAAACCCTTATTTTTTTCAGTCTGTTCTAATGGTCTCCATCACAGCTTTTAGATGCTTACTTCTGTAGTACACTAAGCTATCAAATAGAAAGATCAGCAAAGTAGTTTGTTTCTTTATCCTTTTTTGTATTTGAAGGGGAGGTTTATGACCTAAGCTCAGATTTAATTTGACCTTTCAATTTGCTTTTATAACTATGAAGAATATGTTGATGTGTGGCATCAGCTCCATATTCTTGAATCCGCTTCCTGAAATGCAGTTGATGAGTGCAGTTCATCACTGGAATGGATATTGACGGTGCTTTTGACTGTGGCTTCACACTGTAGTGACTGTAGCCTGTTTGATTTGCGACCTACAAAAAAAGCCACATTTAAGTAGTTTTCAACTGCATGCCTCTTTTGAGGTCCACTGCAACAAGAGACGCCGTGAGCAGTGATGGAATATTATGAGTCCTTAGACATACAGTCATAATGTGATGGCCCAAATTAATCTATTGGAAACTTTTGATTGGTAACGTTAAATTAGCTCAGTTTGTAACTTAGACCAGGGTTAGGTAGAACAGGCAGAATCGCATCAACGATTCTGCTAAACTGCCTTTGCGCAGTTAAGTACTTTATATGTAGAGGAAAGAAGTAGACCGAAAAGGCGTATGTTGTCACTGGCGGAGAAACTGTCAGTAACTGTTAGTCGCACATATCTGCCTCCATACCCACGAGATTGGGGAGCAGCCTTGTATAATGTGTCCTTTAGCTGGGTTTCATCTTCTAAAAACTTTTTTTTTTCTCTTCCTTAAAGGAGATCTTTTCCAAATTCTTTCTTTGGTTTCTTCTCTTATGGTTTGTAATATCAAAAACTGCCATTTTTTTTCAATCCGTAATTGTTTTTGAAAAAGCGTAGCATTGATTCCAGTGCCAGGAATTCTGCAGGGGAAAAACCATTTAGCGTTGCACGGTGGTTAAGCTTAGTGTGGGACCATAGGTTAAATATTGTTGTTTTCATGGCGTATAAGACTAAAACAAAGTGTTTAAAGAGAATCAAACAGGCAATACAGTAAAGCACTGAATGTACTGTAAGTTAGAAATTAAATATATAACCTGCTTGTTTAAACTCTTGGTCGTGTTGTTTCCTGGGATTTCTTTCAGTTTCCTACCATAGGTTTTACTTTCCAAATGAGGGTCCTGCGTGAGCCTCTTTACACTTCATTGTTTGCCAGTCCCTTCAGAGCGTTACAGAATAATGTGCCTGTTCTAGCAGCTGCTTGCAGAGGGAGTCTTTCTTGACTTTGCTATTGCAGCAGATATTTTTAATTGCTTTGCCAACTGTCCTTGAAGTCTACTGTATGAGCCGTGAAGAGTAACTCCCACAACGAAGCAAGAACTCCCCTTTCAGAATTCACAGAATGGAAAATTCCACTTTGTTGTGTTGCTATGTTATGGTCCGCTTGTGAGTAAACTGTGCACTACCACTGCTTAGTACGTATGTTTTTTTTTTTTTTTAATGCCATTCGGATGGGAATGATGGATTCCCTCAACCTTTATTAAGTAACTCTGGAACTGCTGACTGCGTCAGATGGCAGCCTGTGGGTTTGTGTCACAGCTGGAGTGCACCCCTGCAGTAAAGAACCCTTTCCTTTGTTCTTTCCTATACGACGAGAGGGATGCCTGTGTAGGATCAGGCAAGCTGTCAGCTGCGCTTAAACAGAGGACCTCTGTGTGCGTTTATTAAAATGACAAATCAAAAGAAAATTAAAAGAATTCCAGAGTTTTGTACCCGACCAGGGGAACCAGTGTCTGTGTGTGTTTTTGAATGTATGGAAAGAAAAGGCTGCTGTTCATATGAGATGTATCTGTGGGATGTGGTACTATTTTGTAGCAGGTGCAATGACATGTATTTATGTGCATTACAATTCACTTTGGTAATCAATCCAGTTGATGACAAATGTTCATCAGCAGGGTGTCTGGCTTGAAGGTCTGAGACCAGTAGTGTGCATGTCCACTATTGGAAGCACCAAAAGCTGTACATTTTTGATGCATGATGTTGTCTTGTGGGATTCTCTCCCAGTCGGGGAGCTCAAACAAACATTTCCATTTGACATTGAGATGCAGATGCCAAACAGGGCAGCAAAGGGCAAGCCAGTTGCCTGGGCGTGATCAGTGTAGAGCTGTACAGTCGGGCTGCTTTCAGTCACTACCAGTGAAGTCTTATGGCAAATAAAAACCATTGATTGGTCTGTTTTACGCAAAACTTAGAATATTGGTGTACACCACACCCACTGACATTCACCGGGGCAGTCTAAAGCCCACACAAAACAGTTTTTCATTTCCAATGAGTTCTGGGCTCTACTGCTGGAAAACCCACCTGGGGTGTTGCTCCAGCATACTCATACACCGCGGTATTATTCTAGCAACACGTGAGGCATATTGGTTGCTTGTTCTTTTTTTTACAAGGCTTATGCTGCAGTAAAAATCAGTAGGATGTATTGTGATGATCCATCTTTCACAACTACACCAGAAATGCTGTTCTCACTGTTTTGGCCAGGTATATTTCTCAGAAAATCTGCTCCACAATTCACAGAAAGGAATTAGAGCAGACGACTCCGCTGGACGCCGAGCACTACTTTAATTTCTGCTGGTGTTATTTATAATGGGGAGTTGAATGTTTGGTAAGTACAGTGTAGACAGAGCGAACATATGACACCAAGCTCACTGGAGTATATTTTGATACAGAATGTGATTTTAAATCTGTCCTTAAATAGGCTTGAATTTCTTAACTTGGCATTAGCCCTTTGTTGAGATTAAATGGTAAATGGATTAAATGAGATTAATTGCCTAAGACCTGTGCACAAAACCCGTGTAGTATTGTTCTTGAGGAGTCATGTTGCCATGGATTGTCCATATAGTATATGCCTTGTGAGTGCCTTTAAAGTAAAAGTGTTCTTTTGCTAGAAAATTGTTTAATCGGTGAATGTACATTAAGCCGTGTTAGTGTTGCAAGGAATAAATTCAGTGGGACTGACTTGTCTGCTAGAATAGCTACCGTAGGTAACTCTTTTTATTAACTGTTAGTCAATTCCAGTGTGTTAAAGCTCTGCTGGGAGACCATTAAGCCCAATTAATTTCTCCTGCCTTGAGCAGGATCTGATTTCCATTTAACTTGCACCCTGTTGTGAGCTAATATTTACTTGGTATCCTGTGGAATTGGTCTGTTGTGTAATTTCAAAAATGCCCTTGATTACCACAATATGGAGAGTACTCTGCTGAAGAGCTGCTCGATTCCACTGTGTAGTGTTGTGTTCTGCTATATTCAGTCACTTGCAGACTAGATACCCAGATCATGCTTTTATCGTATGTTTTTCATCTGGCATCCATGCATCTGAAATTCTGTTTTTATGGAACCATAACAAAAATGTTTTTCTTTGACTTTATTTTAAAAATGTGTAGTGGTGTCTGAGTACAGTGTTTCAAAATTAATGAAAAGCAGACTGTCAAGGTTAGGTTAATCTCACGTGAAATGCTTTATGTTCTAGGAAGTGCATTAGAACTACCGTTAGTGTTGTGAAAGCTTAGTCCACAAGGGTCAGAGCAGTTATTGTAATGCAACCTGTGCGATAACTGTGCCTAGCAACTGATCTGTGTACAATGAAGGGCATTTCATCTCCAAACAGCGGGAAGAATTTAACTGCTGAAGAAATGGAGACTGTAGATGTGGTATTGATTTAGCAGTGATGGCAATAATGAGAGACAACACTGTATCTACATCTTAATATCAAAATATCAGAAAGTTGATGGAGTCTTGTACAGTCATTGCAATGCACGACAAAACTCTCTCTGCATTAAATCTTAAAATGATAGAAACTGTTTCTTTTTGTCCAAAGTGAGTAACTTTTAATTCCTTGCAGTAAGTGCACCATTACTTTTGGTTGTAATCACATTTTACGCTATTTTTTCACACCGTTTTACAAGTAGCAATCTTGTGTTCACAATATATCTGAAACAGGTGGAAGATAAAGTGAAATTTTAAATTTTGTTCAACGTTGTCAGCGTGGTTACAACTGACCTGATTTATCAGTGAAAAATGCTAGAAGTAATCTGAAATCTACAAATTGCACAATATAGAATCTGAGTATTAGCTACCTTACCGAAACTACTTAAAAAGTAGTTTAGCCAGCAGCTATATCATGCTGCAAGTCACACTGATAGCTGATGTGTGGTGAGCGTTCTGGTGCAGATATAAATTGTTACCGTTGCATCATCCAGGTGGGGGCTACACATTACCTTTAAATCGCTTTGGATGTATTATTATTAATAAAAATTGCTTTTGATCCTTATTCTTGTACTGTACATGGATGAATGCCTCTTTTTATTACGGGGAAAAAAATGGGAAATAAGAACTAATTGTAGTTATGTTTTGTCTTTCAGAACAAAGTTGTCTGCTATGGAGTGAACAATCAGAGCTACAGCTGTGAGTCAGGACACTGCTGTGGGGAGTCTCAGTGCTGTAATTACTACTATGAATTGTGGTGTAAGTTCTTTCATGATTTATGCTTCAAATTGTTTATCCTCACTCCATCTGGAGTTAGATTTAAAATGAATGTTCACATTCTCCTGATATTTTCACTTCTGAGCTCTGAGTAATTCTGCAACTTCTGAATAGACTACTTCTCCAAGTGCCTGCATAAGGGTTGTGTGTATCTGTGAAACTGGTACGATGTTAGTTCCATTCAAGCTCCAGAAGTTTTCTCGAATTACTTTACCTGGAATAATTAGAAGTACATTGCATGGCAAATTTAATTTGCAAGTTTAACAAATGGAACACAGTGTATGTAATGTGAAGGTGAAAATTGTATTCTGTAATGGCAGAATGCCTTTTATTGAAGAGCTGTGTGTCATTGCACAGTTGCTCAGTTATGAAAACCAGAATCCCAAAACAGAACGTTGCCCTACCAGTTAGACATACTGTTCAGAATAGATGTAGAACTTGTACACTCCACTTCACCAACCCAGATACCAGATGATATTCCCAGATCTCATTATGTTCCCAGTAGTAAAATGACACTATTTTGTTGTTAGAATTCTTCTCGTTGGCATCAAACTCCTGAAATAAACTTAAGTATTTAAAGAAGCATACAGGACCTTCTGTTCAGAAACCGTGAAGGTCATGCTTTTGTTTTTTTAACATTCTTTGACTGGAAGCAAAGATCAAAAGTACTGTATGATGTGTTAAGATTCTTTTGATGCTTAGTATATCATCCTTGTTTATGAATGTATGGTTTTAGAAAAAGCATACCTGTTTTGGATGCTTTTATATATTTGGCATCATTAGATTTAATCTTTCATGACCAAACATGATACACACAAAAATATGTGGCTTTATTGCAGAAGCACTTAATCACCTGATTAGTGAGACTTGATTGCACACAGGTGATAAAGTAATTTAACCTGCTGAGTATGATTAAAATCAAGGAAGAAGTATCTTGCTTTTAAGTAGAACAGTGCCTTTAATTTATTGGTACATTGGAGTCTGGACTGAGACAGCACACTGCAACTCTCCATGAGGGATTTACAGTCAGCAGGTTTCTCCCCTGGTGAGACATTACAGCCAGACAGTCTGTTAAATATAGGCCACAATCTGGTAGACCAATGAGGGGTTCCATGAGTGCTAATCTGGCCTGGTATGTCTAATTGCTACTGAGCTTTTAGGAGATGTTAGTAGTCTCACTGTATTGTACTGCAGTCATCAAATCCGGGGACATTACTTCCTGCCCTTCATGTCCATGATACCTTTCCAGCAGGACAATGCATGTCATCATGCTGCTTGTGTAACAACAAATTTATTATGAGATGAGACTGAACGTTTGTTGGAAGAGCTTGTATGACATGTGGCATCTAGACCTCAAAAGACCGTGAACAGGCAGGTACTTGTTCAAACCCTATGAAAGACGAGAGGTAGAATTCAATTCGAGATCTTGATTGCATCAGCAACTTTGTACAAAGCGTGTTCCCATTGTACAGCCCCTATTGCTGCCAGCGGTGGCCACAACTGCTTCCAACCTGTGACTTTCTCAGCAGACCCCCTGTTTGTCAGTACTTGTTGGTGCTTGATAATTAGCACAATGATTTTACCTTTCATGGTAGTGCATATGCTACAAAAAAACAGGTCTTTTTCCTAATAATGGTGAATTTGTTGCAGTTTTCATTCTGCTCCTAATATACTGTTAAAGTGTAACTACATAAACTGGCTAGTTTAATGCTTTTAGTTTTATGCCAGCAGCTATATCACCCTGCAACTCACAACTGGCAGCCCACTGAAGCTAAGCAGGTGTGAGGCTGGTCAGTACCTGGATGGGAGACCTCCTGGGAAAAACTAAGGTTGCTGCTGGAAGCGGTGTTATTGGGTCCAGCAGGGAGAGCTCAGACCTGTGGTCTGTGTGGGTCCTAATGCCCCAGTATGGTGACGGGGACACTATACTGTAAACAGGCGCCGTCCTTCGGATGAGATGTAAAACCAAGGTCCTGACTCTCTGTGGTCATTAAAAATCCCAGGGTGTTTCTCGAAAAGAGTAGGGGTGTAACCCCGGCGTCCTGGCCAAATTTCTCATTGACCTTACCAGTCATGGCCTCCTAATAATCCCCATCTATGAATTGGCTTCATTACTCTCCTCCCCACTGATAGCTGATGTGTGGTGAGAGTTCTGGCTGCCTTCGTATCATCCAGGTGGATGCTGCACATTGCTGGTGGTGGAGTGAGTCCCCATTAAAGGCTGTAAAGCGCTTTGAGCGGAGTATAAGCAATTATTGTTATTGTTATTGTTGTTATTATTATTTTTATTATTAAATATTTAAAGCAATATATGTAGAGCTCCAGTACCACTGGTGCTATTATAATTACTCAAAAGCAAGCTCTCTGTGAGAAGAAGTGTTATCTTTAAAATCTAATCAGTCTTATGAGACTGATGAATATTAGGCATCGTATACAGTCATAAATGAGCAAATGCCTTTAGCATTTTTTATCCCGTGAAGATTGAATCAGATTGGATATGAGAGATTGCTGTTTAGACATATACTGAAATTTATCTTCATGGATGTATGTTTCTATTTTTTCCTAAAATTTTTCTATTTACTGTACATGCCAATGTAGAAAGGGCCTTACACTATGTGGTATAGCTGATGTAGGATGCCCAGGCTTAACATCCTTAATAAAACACACTAGGATGCGGTATCTGCTGAGTCAAGGGCTCTCTATTTTGTTTATTTCTCATCATGAGAGACAGATTATCCCCGGATGGATATGTGTGCCTGTAACTTTACCCAAGCAGCCCTTGTAAACAGCTGCTTGGGACCAGTGGCTTGTTTAGGGATAGCAGACAGTCTACTGAAGCTTCCAGAAATGTCCATTGCCTATTGGGGAAAGGTTTTGCACTAAATATAAACATATTGAGGATGATGTGATCCTTAGTCCTATCTGCCCATGGACATGATAGATATTCCACAGATCATTGTTCTCAGGGGGTGTTTTGTTTTTTGCTTTTGTAATTGTTTTTACTTTATTTAGACTAAAACAGCAATTCAGCTTGAGTCTGCATAGTATGTATTTCTAGTTGGTATAAAAAAGGTAAAGTTCATACCGGAGCTGCAGCAGCTTATCGAGTCAGAGCTCAGAATAACGTAAGAAAGATTAGAACATTGTAACGCTACAGAAACATTTTTCTGGTTTCTGTAGCGCTAAGCAGACTAGAGAGTGTATAGCTCCAGACCTGGATGTCCATCATCAGTAGTGGTCTCCACTTATACAGCTGGGTGGGCAGCAGCTACTGGGGTAAAGTACCTCACTCAAAGCACAACAGCAGTGTCTGCAGCAGAATCTACTCGTTCCTACAACCTGTCGGTCTGTCGAAGCCCAAAGGCTTACCCACTGCTCTACGCCTTCCTTTAAGTATAGAAATTGATCAGCAAAAAATGTCCTTATAGTCTCCAGTTTTTCATTATTACAGTAAAATAAATTAAGGAAAAATCGACAGATCTGCTTATGCCACCCATACCTCAACTAGAGTTTTTCCATACTGCGTATTCTTATTTTTTTCTGCGTTGTTTTGGATATTTTCTTTTTGCAGGAGATGTACTGTATGTGGTTTCATGGACCTGGACCCTAATGTCATTTTGCCTATAGCTTGCTTTTTGGGGATACCCTTATCCACTTCATAGGAAGTAAGGGATTTTTTAATATTTACGGTTTTGTTTTCCTTTGTGTACAGGTTCGTCCACTGGTACCATTAAACAAGCCGTCACTTTTGAACTATGCATTGAGATGATAAGGTGTTTCAAGCTTTAGCTGATCCTGAGAACCTTGCAGCGACTGCGGAGGCTTGTCATTATGCTGTGCTCACGGTTTCCTGTTGCCTTTGGTCAGGGTTCTGGCTAGTCTGGACCATTATCATCATCCTGAGCTGCTGCTGCGTCTGTCACCACCGACGCACGAAACACCGGCTGCAGCAGCAGCAGCGGCAGCACGAGATCAACCTAATTGCATACCGAGAAGCCCACAACTACGCCTCCCTTCCCTTCTACTTCAGTAAGTGTCACTCTGCGCTGGGCAGAGGTCTGGATGTCTCTGTAGCAGCACAATCAGAATTCGCTTTCAGGTAATTGGGTAGATGTCATGACTGATCCAATTCATGAGGGAGTAAAAGCATTTTGACGTCATTTTTTTTTCAATCTAACTAGTATTTGTGGATGATGTGTAACTCTGAATAATCTAATGAATATCCGCGAAATGAAAATGAAATCTCTTTTGTGAAATATGTTGAAATACTTTTGTAAACCGAACTTATAGCATTTTAATTCTGTCTGTACGTTTGTGCATCTGACTTGGAGTTTTGCACTACTAAACCCATTTTGTCTGTAGCTGTTACAGTGAGCACACCACAGACTGAAAGCTCCTTTTTCTTTGTTTTTTCTCCAGGGTTTTTGCCAAATTATCTCCTTCCAGCCTATGAGGAGGTGGTCAACCGCCCACCCACCCCTCCTCCCCCTTACAGCGCGTTGCAGCCCAGCCCGCCAGCCGACGCCAGCTCCCCGAACCCCGAGCAGGCCGACAGACGGCCCTCGCCCGCGCAGTCGGGGCTAGCTCCTCCCGCCGCGGATGCCCTCTCCCAGTGCCCTAGCAGCGAGGAGCTTGAGCCCCCTGCTGGCTACATCCAGCGAGGAGACAGCAAGGCCCAGCTGGTGCCCGAGCAGGGCGGCCCCCAGCTGGCCTCCGCGCAGGACCTACCGGGCCGAGACAAAGAGATGGACTGCCGCAAGGAGTTACTCAGGGACTTGGGCTCGGAGAGCTGCCTGGAAGACAAGGAGAAGACGCCGGGTCGGCACCGGCGTTTTACCGGCGACTCGGGCATCGAGGTGTGTGTGTGCGGCCGGGGCAGAGAGGGCGAGGAGCTGAAGGAGCTGGATGGGCTGTTGGACGACAGCCTCGATGGGCCCATGGACTTCTGCGATGGCTGTAACTCCTGTGACCCCCGGGCCCCCGGGGATGAAGAGCAGGGCCTGGCCTTGCCCGAGAGAGCTCTGGACCCCAGCGAGCCACCCGGCCCCCGGCCCCCGGTCTGTCTGCTCCTGCACACCATCAACGAGCAGGAAGTGCCCAACAGTCAGCCTGGCAGCACTGACCCTCAGAGCTGAGCGAGCAGGCATGCTGCTGGAGAACAGAACGGAGGCAGAGAAATGAAACACTTTACATTTTTAATTCTGATTTTCTTTTTCGTCTTTGTGTGGTGGTTAGGGGGGTTTCGTAAAGCACCGGACTCCGTGACGGTCCGACCTAGTGAAGCCTTAAGTAAAATCAGTGCAGTCCTGTTTTCCAACGAAGAGAAGGACACCACCCCCCCACCGCCTAATCTACAGATGTAATCCCTTCAAAAGCTAAAAGGAACAATCTGCGCTGTACACGGGAGATGCATCTGTGCTCACTGAAAGAGGAGAGCTGCTTCTCACAGAGCATTACAGCCCCTCCATAATGCATAGTGTCATGACCGCCATTTGCATTTTGCCCTTACTGGCAGCAATGCTTGACACTCCTGGAGGGGCTAAATTGGAATGAGGAGCCAGGGAGGATGGGTTCTGCAGTTTTTTGAAGATGCCGAATGAGATCCCAGGAGTAAAAGCTCTTAGCAGGATGTGTCCTTGCCATTTTTAGCAAAGTCACATCCTTCGGTTAATTTCACAGGAAAAATGGCTCCAATAACTCATATTAGCCCCATACAATGGGCTAGGAGACTTGAGATTGCTGGTTTGAATATTTCTTAATAACTTCTGGATTTTCCCCCTCTTTTTAAAGTCTTTTTCCTGCTGTGCAGAATGCGCAGTGCAAGCAACACCCAGTACTTTGGAGAGCTAATTATTTTTATCACAGTACTTTTTTCTGAAAGCCAAAAAAAGCAGTGCATTTTAAAAGGAATTATCATGCAGCATTTCCGTACCTTCATACATTTTTATATGGGATATACATTTACATCAAGGGACTTTGGAATATCGCACATGAAGATTATCTTTAATGGTGATACTGGGTAGTTCATTTGCTACTGCATTAAACAGCCCCTGTTTGTTGGTGGTGGCAGGAAGGACAAGAGACTACTTCAGGAGTGTTGTAACTGTTTGCTGTTATATTCTTCTCACTGTTTTTCTTTGTTGGTATTGTAAAGGAAAAAATACAAGGCAGAAGTTGATTGAATCCTTAAATACCGTGTCGAATTAAGTCAGAACTTAAAATGTAGGAGTTTAATTTTTTGGGGGGGTGTTAAATATAAAAAGGTCTTTATTTCTGTGTCTTGCTAAACATCAACACATCTGTGGCCTTTCTGATATTAACATAGTCATTCAATATGTCTGCCAGGTAATCAGTGAGTACTGTTCTATGGAGGAATGTAGAGGTGTACAGTGAATACATTTATAGTAAAGTTCCAATGATGATGCATTTGCAGTTAGACTAGGTAAGCACTGGTTCCAGATTTAGTGTGCCTTAGACTGAAGCGTATTGGCTATACGCTGCATAATCTAAAACATTTCTTTAATGTGGTGACACAGTAATTGTCTAAGCCCAGTCAGGAAGCTTTGAAAGTTTTCTGTTAGTTTGCGAAATCAGTATATTATCTCCTTTCTTTCATTGTCATAAAAGCAACTGAATGTTTTGTTGCATGAACATCATATACATATACATAGTTTTTTCCGAGAGCAACTTGTTTGAAATTTTACCCATTAGTGTTACAGGAACAGTGAGAAATGTTGTCATGATCTTACAGCAATGGTGATGAAGTATTTCCATCACAGTAGAATGTGTGGTTGGGTTTATGTGATTTTCTGAGTAGGTGACACTGACATAAAGAGAATAAAGTGATCATTTTATAGTAATGAAAACTCCAATGTGACAAGTGTCAACGATCCATTTGTTATTGACTTCTGTTTGTACAGCTGGAGCTGTTTATTTGGATATGTGGCTACCTCGTGATTTTGTATGTGTTGTTAGGATACCAAGTTGGCGAGTAACACCATGTCAAAGTGGAATGGTATACTGTTGCACCCTTCAGTAGCAGCGTTAGCAAAAAGATTACATTTCCTAAGACAAAGGGTATAAAAACAGGTTAGTGTTTTCATCAAGTCATGACAAAGAAGACTTGTTCGCATCATTTTCTTTTTTGGATTCATGAAAATCTGGAGTGACAAGTTCAGCACGTTCTTATTTGACAGTCACAGGAGAGATGGTGAACTATGTTAGCCCTTGTTTAAATGGGCCATGTCCAAATTGCTAAGTATGTCTGTGTGTGTGTGTCCTGGGGTGAAAAGTGATCTGAAAATTTCTTTTGGTTGCCTGAGTGATAGTCTAAGCAAGGACTATTTTTAAGGTGTTATATGAAAAGCACATTTCCTGTTAGCTGCTGGATGCAAGTGAGTGTTGATTTCATGTCTGATTCACAGAACCCTTGAATGACTTGAGAAAAGTACAGGGTAGGTTAAAAAGTTGAAATACATAATTCATTTTGCTTTTGAATTGTATGCTTAATACAATCATACTGTACATACCCAGACTGGGATGTCACGTTTTGTTTAATTGGAGGCAATGGCCCATTTCTTTAGTTTTCTGTATGAAACTGCTCCAAACACTCAGTATTAACTCAAGAGCTGAAATTTTGTATTATTTTTATTTTCATTTTCTCCTTGTTGAACTCTGCCTGACCCTAGGATGCAAGTCTAAGAACTACGTTTTGATTGAGTAGGTAGAGACAGATGGGTCGGGGGCCAAATTCCTTTCAGATTTCCCCAGATGACTTAAAGACAAAAAAATCCCAATTATTCATCATAAAATATGATATGTATATGTTAAAGTGAAAAAAAACTAAATCCAGCTCAGGTCTCAGATCCTCATCTGCCATTGTTTCGAAAACATTAAAGAAGTTATCTTCTTTCTCATTTCCATTTTCACTCATTACTTGTCTGTTACTTCTGTACAGAATGTAATCTTCTCTGAGAGACCATTCCAGAAGAAAAGCTAAATCAGGGGAAAGGTTGTGGGCAAGAGCCACCCACTATAATTAGTGTTGTACCAAAAACAAGATGCACATCTGAAAGCAGTTCTTTGCAGTTCCTGCAAAACAATTTGTACAGTATTTGTCTGGAGCTGTATTTTTACTGAGGTTAAATAAAAACCACCACCCAGTGTTCACAACATAATGAGGCCCAATCTACATTTTCATTTATTTATTCAAATCCTAATTCTGTTTTTAACTACCCTGTACTTTGTCCGTAACTGAAACATTCTGATTCCAAAATTGCAATTATAAACCAAAAAGAAAACACCTCATTGGAATTACATTATCATGAGCCATAAAGTTTTTGTCTCTGATGTCTGCAGAAGTTGTTCAGACGATTAAGCCATTTGCTATTCCCTGTCATGGTACAGCCTAGCAAGTCACATGGACCAGCTGGTAAACAATGAGCCAAAAACTATTACATTTGAAAAATAAGCGTTAATTTATTCTATGTTACCAAAAAGATTTCTCTGGGATTATGGTGTGTAAAGAAAGGGGAAAATACCTATCTCATGTTTCCAGTTTTGACTCAACTAGGCTTAACCTTAACAGGGTGTCATTGCACTATCTTTAAATTTAAGGACGTTTTGAAGTAGTTGATTGGTTTCCTGGGCTAGGCATTATATTATGACCATCGTTGAGGGATGCTATATGATGAATTGTGAATCATAGTCTTCTTCATTACATCAACAGGATGCCTTTGTATTTTTGTTTGCGTTTTACATAAGGGCCAGTATGTATTTTAACTGAGAACATAAAATGTAAAGTAAAAGAAAATTCAAGCTAAGATGTGTAATTTGTCAGTTATTTCTTTTTCTTATGATGTACTTAAAGAGGTGGGAGTGCATCTACAGCATCACCATTGGGGCAAAATTGTTTTGCCCTCATCCTGCCCTTCTGATGTGTTCTTGTCTTAGGCTGACCTTGTAACAAGCAGATTGTATATGATGACATATATACGCTGCTTAAATTTGGCTGGAGGAGTGAGAAAGAGGTGGTTTTAGTACTTGAGACAGAGCTGCTTGACTGAAAATGCAGTGAAAATTGTAAACACCTTACACAGTAATGGCTCCTTTTTTTGGAAATGAGTGAATTGAAGCTATTTTAAATGGACATATAACTCCTTTTTGAGTTTTTGTTTTCTTACACTTATATATGAAAAACCGCAATGAAGTGCATCAATGTTAAACACTGCATCTTCTGCTGCATAATTTCTGGCTATTGGGATTTGGAATCCTTTTAAGAAGCGGCTTTAGCTAAAAGAGTATTTATGCAATGAGTTAAATGGATCAATCGGTTTAAATGATGCATTGCTTAAAGGATACAACATCTGTATCCACTCTATAGTCTTACAACAATGTTCTGTGGACATAAAGCGCTACTGCAACCGAGTAATCTGAAATGTTAATATGAGAATACTGACAAACACATTGATGCAGTGTATGTAACAAGGACAGCTTAAATGAACAGGGAATTTCAGTTTGTTTTGCTTTTCCATTTTAAAATCTTAGAAAAACATGTTTTTCTAGACCCCATGTTTGGCATTTATAGCATTTTTCTTAAGAAAAGTGCAGAAACATGTTCATTTAAATTAAACACTGAAGTTAGATTGCGATTACCTTCAAAGCCTTACATGAAAATGCCTTACCTTCATTAAAATTTGTAGTGATGCTAATGGTTCTAGGTTTCCAAAATATGTCAGCCAGAATCTGTTCTTGAAATAAAAAAAATCACTAGCTTCATTTCACATCTCCTGAAAAAGTGTTTCCCCAGATTTGGAATATTTCATTATGCTTTACAGCTCCTACTGTGATTGATCATAGTTTAGCAGAGTTCTACAAGAGATGCTTTGTTATCTCAAAAGATTTCTAAGCTCTAGAAGTCACAGTACTGCTTGACAGGAAGTCGTGTAATTTTAAGAAACCAAGTCGGAGAACAGGATGTTTAGTTCAGATAACTGATCATTTCCATTCCTGTATTTCAGAAGGTTTAGACTTGGAGGGGAAAGATTCCCTTGTTTCTGAACAGACTAAGCACAATGTTGCAGTAAACAGATACTTATTTAAAAAGTATGTAAGCTCCCAGTGGCTTGGAGATGGGTATTGAAAATGTCTAAAGTGTATCCATTCTAATGTGGTACAGACTAATTAAACCATTGAAACTTCATTGCATTACAAGTGATTTTTGTAGAACTGCACTTCTGTTTTTAAAAGATCAGAATATGTTGTTTGCATAATCTTATGGCAAAGTTACTGAGTAAGAAATTTAAAAACAAAATAAAAATGTTTTTCCTGTTTTTAGTTTACTTGTTTCATGTTCTGTTGTGTGCATATGGCTCAAGTCTCCTCTGTGGGGTTTTATGCTCGTATACTGAGGAAATTTACTTAAATATATTCCTCAGGACAGAATTTAAGAGTGAGGCTTTCACTTACCAAAAAATACAACACAAATCTGATTCTGATTGGAAGCCCATGCTGAAGAAGCTGTAAGATATTTTGTTGTTGTCATGAGCTCTTCTTGTGGCATTAAACAACCAGTGCAAAATGGGCAAAACAGATGACAAAATATCAAACTGGAAAACCATTTAATTTAACTATATTTTCTTTAAATATAATATACCAAATCATATTTTTAAAACTCTGTACACGGTACATGGTTGGCAACATTAATGCCATTAAAAAGATACATCCACCTAAAGTGTAACATGAAACAGTTCTCTAAATATTATTTCAAGACGGGAAAAATGTAAAACAAAATCTGGATTGCCATTAATGTTCTATTTTTTTGTGTTTTCAATAAAGAAATTGCATTTATTGAGGGTTCTTTTCCTGTTACTTTCCAAAAACTTTTAAGACCTGCTAATTTTGGGATGTTTCTTACTTTATTTGTTTGGGGGTGAAAAACATGTCTGAAAAAAGAGGAAAAATCACTATACTTGGAGTAAATTATATAGAAATCTGTTCAATAACCATATTTTAGGAGCCAATAAATGAATGTGATATTTGTATGCAATAGCACCACCTATTGGACTTACTAAGCATTTCCGCTGTTGATGAGTATCTGAGGACAGCCTAGTGCCACAGGAGTTGGCATTGCTGAGGCCATGAGTTCAGTTGTGGACCTGCTGTGCTACCTGTGTGGAGTCTGCATGTTTTTGCCATATTCACATGGGTTTCCTCTGGGTGCTGTCCTCCGGTACGTCTGTGGTGTGTGTGTCCTGCCTGACTGGCGTCCTGTCCATGGTGTACCTTGTTCCTGTTGCTTGCCAAGACAGGCTCTGGTTACCCTGACTCAGAATTGGATGAATTGACTGTAAAATGGATGGATGAATATCTGTAACTGGTCATTGGAGAACATAAAATCCTTAATGTTTAGTATTTGCGTATCACTCATTTATAGATAATAGTATGATAATTATATAGTTCAAGTAGGTTGGTGTGTCAGCTGCAAAGGAACAAGTAAAGGTTTATTCCATATTAAAGAGACAAAAAAAGTTTATTTTCTTCTCCTTTCAACCTGATAATGATAGTCTTCTAAAAACAATGCCCATAACACAGTAGTCATTTTTTTATTTGATTTTGAATTATTTAAATTATTTTAAAAAATTGAATTTATTTTAGATAATGGTGGAAGTGATAAATCAAATTCATGGTGGAAACTAGATGTAAAAAAAACAAAAGGTAAAAAAATTACCATTAGGTCACAAACTTTTGAGAGACCTTGGAGCAGAATTTTTGTCATTTCTAAGGAAAAATAAGTCATTATTTAATTTTTATTTGGTAGAAATGATCAATTGAAAAGGAATTTTATATAAGGCTGTACAAGATAACATATTACAGTTTCAACAACTAGATTTTCTAATCGGACATTTCCACAATTATTTAAAAATTCAGGTCTTTATTGATGGTAAGAAGCAGGACTGTTTAAAATTGGAGTAAAAAGATGCAGTTGTGATTTTCTAGAATATCCTGTGTATATTTGTCTTAATGGATTTCCAAAAAATGTAATGTTCCCCTAGCATACTGTTATATAAAGCCTGTAGTAGATGGAGCCGGACTAAATTTGACTGTTCCCAGTTACTTAAATCTTTCAGTTGGATATCTAAATGCTCTGAAATGCATTTTGCAGTTTTGTCATTGCGAGGAGCGTCATGTTCAACATCCCCCTTTACAGTGGTTCAGCGTAGTTCTGTACATCTTGCCCCCATGCACGGGGTATGCGGTTACTCAGGCTTCAGGGCTGTTTAAGGATGTCTAGTTTCCTGTTAGCATAAAAGGAGCATTTGTGTCTCTTGCTGAAGCAGACATAGGATTATGCAAGTAGGTATTGTCAAAATTGGAAAAGACTGTAGCTCTGTACTGTAGCTCAGGTTAAGGAACAGATTGAGAGTGATTCATTTGTAGTATAACTCAGATCTGAATACACAACCAGCAGTTTTAGTATAAAGGAACATGTAATAGGTTTAATCCATGCTGAAAATAAGAAGAAAGAAAACACAATGTTTTGGCCGTGGAGCCTTCTTCAGCATGGAATAAACCTATTACTTATTCCTTTGCAGCCTACGCATGCCGACGCAGCTACCCACCTGAACTACTGTTTTAGTATAAAGCTGGAACAAGATGCGTCTTTGCTCAGAAGTGATCTGATCTTGGTTGAGCTCTATGATTAATAATGGTTTTGATTTTCACAACTGTTACTTGCAGTGAAAAGCAGAGACTGTAATGCATGGAATCCTGTTCAGGCTCTTGAGAAACCCAATCGTGTTTGTCTCAAAGGTCTCCGCTTTCTAAAGATTACCAACACTTATGGCTGAATTAAGCCAATCTGTTCAAGGGGCCTCAGGTCTTCGAGTGCTGAAAGGTTGACTTTTGGTTTCAAATTTTCAAATTTACATTTGCTTCATGGATCACAAAATTGGTCCAAATCTGGAAGTTGATGATTAAGAGGTGCCTTATGAAACGCACTAGACTGGGGCTCTCCAGGACCATGGTTGAAGAACCCCAGTGTAAAGGCAGGTGCTGGATTTGGCTAAAAACATTGCGTTGGAAGTTTAATCTTCATCTTCTAAAGGTTTTTGGTAGAGAAGATTAGGCACTGTTGTGAGCTCGTATTGAGACTTGGAACACAAGTAGAAGCAAAACAATATTTTTGAGTTGTCTTCCCACAGGTAACTTTGTACATTAAAGCCTACAACCTGGTACCATGGACAGTCCATATCCTGTGTATATGGACTGTCTGGTAATATGTCTTTCCCAAACAATTGAACAATGTGGTGTTAATGCATCAATGCACTGATGGCCACCGTTAATCCCTGATGCATCTGGATTCTTATGAATCCTAGTAAAGATGCAAACCAGTGATGACAAACTGCTGACTTATTACAAAGGAACATTCAGCAGACTAGTGACCCCCATTTGAATGGAGCAGTATTTGTTGTAACATTGTCATTCTGCAAAATGGAAATCTCTATAATTTGCTTACAGTGTTGAAGCTGAATTTTCATGGACTTTGTATAGAAAATTTGCTCGCACCTTATCTTTAAAGAAATTAGCTCATTTGTACAACAAAGTAGCAAAATACAACAAATACTGCTAAAATAAAGGAAACACCAACGAAATAGCTTCTTCATCGGACACTGGACCACCAACACGTCGGCAGCCACCTTTTCCTTCTGAAACATCAGCAAGTTGAGTCTTCTTCTCTGACGCTCCTGCCAAACGTGCCTCAGCAACCACTGCTCTCTTTAGAGTCACTGAGAGCTCTTCTTCTAGCTTTTGTAGCCAAAATAATGGAAAACTGGGCCTGGCCAGCATTTTTCTACAAGACTAATGCATGGAAGGGTCAGTGTTTAAATAACTCAGGAGCCACACTTGTGTGGAAGCACCTATTTCAATCTATTTTGTATCCCTTGTTTACTCAAGTGTTTCCTTTCTTAATGCCAGTTACCTGTATGTACAGTAGATTTGTTTTAGAAGGCAAACCGTTGGAAAATCTCCAGAATCACATTTGCCTGTTGGGTGGAGGAAGGGTCACATGTGCAAAAACCTCATGTGCAGAATGACCACATTCTGAATGATGTAATCGGTGTGAAACCTTTAATTCTTCCAAGAAAACATTTCAAATATTCAGACGTACACCACCAGGGATGCCTCTAATAAAAATATCATAAAATGGGGGGAAAAAACACCTTAACACATGAAAAGGATGTGCATAGTTACAACCTTAGAATTTGGCAAATAAAACAGTTGATTTAGTCCATTGGGAACTGAAGATCTGGAAGTTGAAGCTAGCCTGCTACAAAAACAGCTCTGACTGTTAACTGAGTCGTTATATGCAATAGATAGCACCCAGTATGAAGAGCAAAAAAGGAAAAAAAGTAGTTCCCTAAGATCTTAAGACTAAGTTAACCCACAGCACCAACAAAAAGAACAGTCCTTACTACCATCCCACCTTCAAAATAATATCCCGCTCTGTACTACCAGGTCTTAGCCTTCTGCCCAAGCGTTCCTGAGTCTCGCGTGCACGTGGTACTTCTGAATCTGGAGGACGACCCCGAATTTGCCCTGCAGGTCAGGGAGGGGCTGATCAGGTGGCACCTCCAGAGTGAAGCGCTGGAGGATCCAGGACAGGAAGAGGAACAGTTCCATCTTGGCCAGGGTTTCCCCGAGGCACACGCGGATCCCTGCCCCGAACGGGATGTAGCTGGCAGAGGGCGAGTACACCCTACTCCCCTCATCCAGGAAGCGACCTGCTCCGGGAGAACGACATAAAAGGTTTTGTTCCTTAACTCATTTTGTACCTGCACGTTGCAATTACAGCTGCTACTGGTCAGGGTACGTGTTAATGCCGACTACAGAGTTGTTTACTTGTGCATTTTTTATAGTGTATACATCAGGAAGGAGAAACCCCTTAGAAGTTACTATCAGAAAACTATGTATAGTTAGTTTCTGTACATAAAACAAGTTACAACCTCCCAACTTTATGTAGTTCTCAATTTACATGCTCTTAATTTGCACAGTTTGGTTTAACTCCATGAGAATGTGTACTCTTTCTTCGTTTTGGACAAATTAGGTCTTGCTTTAACACACTTGGCCATGTCAGCAACATGTAACACTTGAACAGGGTTCAATAGGGTGACACATAAGCAGTTTTGCAATCTGTCTTCAAGCCACCAAACATCTCATGTTTACTAAATCTCTAGAAGATATCCCATAACCTTACTTTTGTGGCAATCTTGCTCTTAGGCAACTAAAGCCTGCAATGGTTCATTAAAATTGCCCCTTGTGGAACAGATATTATTTTCACAAAGGTGATTACAATGC